CAAACCAACTGCGACTTGTAAACACCGTAAGTAGGTGAAGCAGAGATGTTCTTATAAAGAAAGGGTTAAATCACGATTGGAAAGTTTAAACCTTCTAGCTTATCGAATAGATTTGTAGTGAACCGTCCTTGTTTGTCTTGCTGTAAGTAAAGATCAAAGAAGGAGGTCATTCTTGTTATTCAAAGACAGCACATAATCGATATATTTTTATTTGGAATTGGAGGACTTGGCCAGGTTTTTGTTACCAGTCCTAATAAGCTCATCAATGGATTCAGCGTCGTATGAAAACAAAAACGAATCGGCTAGCGGAGGGGCACAGATGTTCCGATGGGATTGCCTACAGTCTGCTGGAAAATCTTGCTACGGAGCTCAACAAATGTATTTTTAACCAGGAACTTATTAATTGTCACAAGGTCAACCTCAGTGTATATCATTTTGGCATTTGTTTAACGCAATAAGCTAAAAATTAATGTTAAACTATAAATTTATATCGCCTTGCACTATTTGTTTTTAAAAGGAAAGCTCGCAAAAAAAGAGAACGTATGCGTTCCTTTAGTGAGGTAGATGAATGGGAAGTGTAAAGGGGGGGGGATTACAATTTGTAATTGAAGAAAGTTTTTGAGAAGAATTTGAATGATTGACCTCATTGATTTGACCAACTCTGAAATAATATCCCATTTAGCAGCTTCCGTCTTGCCATTTAGTGCGTACTCGTCCATATAATCTATTAGTATCTTGAAGTTAACATTGTAATTGATAACAGGTGTATCTTGATACTTGGGAGCCTTCATGAAAACCTCCTGTAGCTTTGCATCACGGATATTATTAGATCGTCAGACTACATGTCAAGCCCGACCGTGGAGTAAAATATGACAGCACACCACTGAACCAAATTAAGCAAACATTACAGAGTTCATGACGTATATAACCTCTTTTAATACATTAAAAGATGTTTACTTAATATTTCCTAAATTGGAGTTGAATGCAAAATAAATCTCAGTCTGGTAGGACACGTTCAATGACACCCTCAGGGACAATTAATTGTATCAAATTATAAAGAAAAATGTCTTTAATTCACTTAGTGGCAGAAAAAACATTCGTACACATTATACTACTGAAAACCTCGTTTCAGTAGGAAAATATGTCAACATATGAGTCGAAAAAATTTCATATCGGGATGTTTGATAGTGATACTTACATGCTTCTAGCATTGCCAACTCGTCGTCAATATCCTCTGGTCGGTCAGACAGTAAGAACAGACGCTGGTATTCGTCCAATGGGTGTGACGATACTTCGTCAAGTTCGCTATGATCTCTGAGTCCGACTCCCACCGTGAACAGGTAGGTTCCGTCGTCTTCGTTTCTCTCCGCTGCTCGGAACGCCTCATACCTGTCTGTGCTTTCGTCATTTCCGGTGATCAGAAGGATGAAATTCCTCGCAAAGTCTCGGTCGCCATTGTTTGGTCTAAACATTCGGGTTCTCACATACTCCAAAGCGTCCGCAGTATTGGTCTCGCCTGTCTGGTACTGGACATCGTCCATGGCAGCCACGACGCCATCTCTGGTCAAGTAATCGTCCAGTTGGTACTGAACGGCCTGATCAGTACTATACCTTAGAAGACCGACACGGAATTTCTCGTTGTCGATGCTAAGTCGACCGGCAACCATCTTGGCGTAGTTCCGGATCCATTCGAATGTTTCGGGTGTAACGGAAGAATCCAGCACGATGACCAAATCGAAGGCTGTAGGTGGTGGCGTCGGCGCAGGTGTAGTAGTAGTAGTTGTGGTGGTGGTAGTTGGGGGATCAGTAACTAAAATACAAATCATTGTTTTTTTAATAATAAATCAAACAACAAGTTGGTATACAATGTATAATACAGTTAAGGATCAAAATAATATTGTGTATGTTTGCTATTCTATTTCTCAACTATACAGATGTGTGTGTGTGTTAATATTTAATATATATTAGGTACCAAAATATACATAGGTCCTTTTGAAATAAAACTATGCTTTATATTATTACACAATAATATCAAATGATCGAGTGATGTTGCTCCTTTATGGTTGTACAAAACAAGACTTATTTCCCAAAAAACAATTCTCTGTTTTATCATACCGAAAACGAAAGCACGGACATTTATACAATAGTTAACCGCAACCTCCAAAAAGTTTTTCAGAGATTTTGAAATAACGGAACTTGCCGAAGGAGGTAGACTGCGATGATATCTTAGTTTTCTGATTGACACTTTGCTGACAGAGGCATAACTCACTGGATACACGTTGGAATGTAGGTAATTAACAGAATCATTTAGCATAAAAGACACTATTGAATGGTCCAAAACATTAAGAACGTCTTTTAATAACGGTTAAATATGTATTCAAGTCCCACTTTTGCATTTCCCAGATTGAAATTTAGATGCGACTAATCTTTTTTTTTAAACATTTATGTTCGTTATTAAATGTGATCAGAGAAACGAAATTAAAAAGCAATGCATTTCAGAGGTGCTTGCGTACAGCATGACTTTGTGTCGGTACAACATAGTTCACATTCTTGATGAAGAAGACCTGAATTTCATTCTTACATAAGTCATGTTCCGTTTTATGTTCAGAAATGGTACACCAAAGTATTGATTTTAATTTTGCACGTAAACTTTATCTAGCGATAACGTATCCTCAGAAGGCTTATATGACGCCATGTTTTTGGATAAAATATGTTACATGATCAAAAATTGATAAAAATTCAAAACATTAATACAGCATTGTAAAGTATATATTCTCTCATATCATTTGCAACTCTAATATGTTTTCCCCCAACGAATCAGTACTTGATAAGCATTTGGTTTAGATATCGTGGTTACCTCTCGGCGGTTTGACAGTTGTGGTGGTTGGTTCCTCCTCTTGTTTGAAGCCTGTTTACATATACATACAAAGACAAACACAACACATGTATTCGTTACAATGAAAGTGCTAACAATGTACACAACAAGTTGACATTTGACAAGTGCTTGATACACAACAGTACTCATCAAACAGTGGTGCAATGACAAAATAGTGAACGTGGTAAGTGCTGAACACAATACAAATACAATACAACATTAACAACGTTAAATCATGTTGATGTTGAAACAGCAAATTTAGAACGTGTACAAATGGTAGAAAAGATAATAAGACTTATACAAAGGATACATATAAACATTAAAGTAACAGACGGAAACTATGTACAGTTGAAACGAATATAAAGATACACTGGAAAAAATGGGTACACCTTTAGATTATTGATATTTATATATTAATCCCTGAAGAAAACTTAAGGCAACACACTGGACCTCATAGATATATCTGGTCAGTGTTCGAGATTGTTTAGATGATAAGTTTAACATACCTGGACATAGAGACGAGAAGACCTGGTCACTAAGTGCATTGAGTTCGTCAAAGGTCTGCACGTTAAAGCTGTTTTCTGATGCTGGTTTGTTGGCAATGCCGTCTAACTCTATGGTATCCTTTAGACCGATACCTATAGCGTAGATGTGGATGTCTACAACTCTTGCCTTGTCGGCTTCCGGGACGGTTCTCCGGGAATTGATGTTGGATACACCGTCTGTTAAGATGATACAGATGTTTGGAACATCATCACGATCTCCGTCGGCGGCGTTGAACATGTTCCTCATCGTCCTCAGTGCGTCAGCCGTGTTTGTACTTCCGTAAATGTAGAGGATCTCATCGATAGCCTGGTTTATGTCAGCTCTAGTTGAATGTGTATTTAGATTGAACTGAACTTCTACCCCGGAACTGTAGATCAAGGCACCCACGCGCACGTTACCAGAATCAATGTCGGCGTTCCTGAGGAAATCGTTACAGAAAGCCAGCATTTTATCGTAGTTATCTTGTCCTACACTGGTGGAGGCGTCTATGATGATGATCAGATCGACTTTGGATAAGGCACAATCTAAATGAAAAAAACCCCAATAAATGCTTTTCAATAATTAAATTATGACTGTTAATGGTAACATATCGTGGCCAATATTAAGTCAAAGGCACTGATGTGACGAATGCTCAATTTAACTTTATTTATGTTTTTCAATGCAGTGTTGTTTCAAAAGGAAATTAAAACAAGTTTAAACTGGTCTTACTGAACAAGCTTTACTTACCGGACACGGGAGGAGGCAGGGTTATTGGTATTGGAGTCGTAGCTGTGAAAATAATATAATGTGAAAGTGTTATACAACACTTATTGAAGTTCTAGATTGACTACAGAAACGGTGAGCCAGCTCACAACTATATGTTCCCATGCTTGCGCTGACAATGTTACTTCAGCAGACTTAAAATTTTCAAGGATCGTTGCCAACTAACTGTTAAGGAGGAGTGGCGCTTACCCAGTTTCTGTAGCAGAGAGTTTTATGTGCCATCACTCCAGAAAAAATAGCTGAATAGCCAAATCTTTTATCCATGAATATCTATATACGCTGTATTTTCAGTGCGTAAAGTTAAAACAATCTCACACATGGTTGAGGAGAGTTGCGCATACAAGGATAATGGACAGACGGATATATTTATTCCTATATACCACCAACAAACGAACTTTGCAAGAGGCTTACACTTTTTTCTCATTACAACGGCAGACAAAAGAACTACAAACAATCAATTTACACTTAATTAAGCGACAAAAAGTACCTATTGAGCTGAATCTGACATTACATATCATATGAATTTCGACTTACCTGGCGGAGGATAAGGTCGTCCTCGGAAACCTTCAGGTGGCTCTTCGGGCACTTAAATATATAAAACGAAACAAAATACGAAATAAAACATGAACTTTTAAATATTTGAATAGATATTTCTGTAAGCAAAAATTAGGTAGATCTGATTGATAATTGTCTGGAACTACTTCATGTAGAAGGTCTGTTCAATTTCATTTTCATAAACAATATACTTGGTACATATTTATAGAATATTCAACTAGTCAGAAATCTCTTCATATCGAAGAATTTATATAATACTTACATGCTTCTAGCATAGCTAACTCGTCATCTATATCCTCTGGTCGATCAGACAGTAAGAACAGACGCTGGTATTCGTCCAGTGGGTGTGACGATATCTCGTCAAGTTCGCTGTGATCTCGGAGTCCTACTCCCACTGTGTATATGTAGTTTCCGTCATTTTCATTTTTCTCCGCTGCTCGGAACGCCCCATACCTGTCTGTGCTTTCGTCATTTCCGGTAATCAAGAGAATGAAGTTTCTAGCGAAGTCTCTGTCACCATTTTCTGGTGTGAACATCCTCCTTCTAACATAATCTAACGCGCCTACCGTATTGGTCTCGCCTGCCTTGTACTGGACGTCGTCTATTGCAGCCACAACGCCATCCCTGGTCAAGTAATCGTCCAGTTGATACTGAACGGCCTGATCAGTACTGTACCTCAAGAGTCCGACACGGAATTTCTCGTTATCAATACTTAGTCGACCAGCGACCATTTTGGCATAATTTCGGATCCATTCGAATGTCTCCGGGGTTACTGAGGAATCCAGCACGATGATAAGATCGAATGCCCTAGGTGGTGGAGTTGGGGCTTCTGTCACTAGAAATATTAGAAGTGTAATTACATTTCACGAAACAGTAATGTCAAGCAAGTTTTAGACACGCAGCGATTGCGTCATTGGGAACATAATGTTCACAGATATAAGAACAGGAAAATAAAACATTAACATCAAACATAGCTTCGCTAAAAACTGGTCAATGTCTTTAATTTTAAATAACAGTTGTATTATATTTATAGATGTAGCATTAATTTTACACCTTGATTTGAAAAATAAATAAATCAACCTTTTCAAATTATAGCTACCCAAATATCAATTTATACTATTGAAACGAAACAGTGGCTTCTAATCAGCTGGTATTATAACGTAAATAAGGGAAGCGTTGTTAACTTTATTGAATACCTATCCTAGAAAGCTAAACATTAAGAATTTAAGTCAACAAATATCACCATAAAGATATCCAAAAAAATCGAAAAATCGTTAAAGCTGTTGTATTTAAAGCTATTGACAACTGTGTATCCCTCTATTATAAAAAGATATGTTTTTGCGTCACGTTAAATAAAGATTTGCAAATAAGCAAATATCAGCTGTAACATATTTTATGAAAGTTCTGCCATTTATTTTTACAATGTCCAGTTAATGGACGAAATTGATCAAACTATTTACAGTTTTATATTTTTCTGAAACGATCAATGGGTATTTATCACTGGGCATCTCACTTATAACATGACACTTTCTCATGCATTTTTGGCAAAAACTTAAACTATTGTTAGAATTTTTATAACATTCAGTAGTTACTGTCTACATCGAAGGTATTAGTTGGGAAAGGGAGTGGATTGTAGTAGCAGGCCTAAAGAGAGGACATCACGAGTGTCATGACAAAGGTTCACGCATGGTGAAGTGTGAAGTGGGGGTGGGGGGTGG